GCACACATCCAGTGGCGGGGAGCAGCACCCGGCCGCCCACCCTGCCCGCTCCGGCATGGGATGTAGCGCAGCCGGGACATGGCACAGCCGGCTCTTTTCTGGGACTCCCCTGGGGCCATGGGGCTGGGCTGGGGGACATGGCAGGGGGACATGGGCAAGGGGACATGGCTGAGGGATGTGGGACGCAGAGGGCAGGAGGCAAACCCAGCCATGGCTGCCAGCGCAGTGTGGTGCTGTTTGGGCACAGCTCGCATCCCCCAGCCTGCTCCGGTGCCCTCGCTGGGCACTCACCACAGGGGACTGGGCTCATCCCCGCATCCTCGTCCCTCCGAGCTTCAGCCCTCCCCTGGGACCTGCCTGCCAGCCTCACCGCCCCGGTCCCTGGGGACTGCACCGCTGCCCCCAGCTGTGCTGTCTCCTAAAGCCCAGCGCCAGGGAGAGCTGCCCTGCGAAGCCCTGTTTGACCCAAATTGTCTGTGTTCACACTGCACAGTCCAGCTTGCCCCAGAGCGAGGGGACCCATGAGATGCCCCAAGCGCAACCCCGGACCCGACCTTCCCACGGGTACCTCCCTGTGCTGCCCATTAACGCGGGTTTTTCCAGCAGCCCCTTACCCCGGGCCCTGCCCGCACCCTGGGGGTCCCACTGCTGGGACGTGGGCAGCTCCGTGCCAGGCTGGCATCGCCGCCCCGGCCAGGGAACCCCGTGTCCCGTGGGACGGGACTGGAGCATGGGGGTAAACAGGGGATTGCCCAACCAGCGACGCATTCGCAGCCTTCGCAACGGAGGCGGCTGTTGTGCAAACAGCTGTTTACTACGGGATTTGTAGCACACGTTACACCTCCAGCGGCGCGTTACTCAGTGCTCACGCAACCCAATGCTGCAAACAACTGTGGGGCCAGCGCAGTCCTCCCCCCCCCCGCCGACGTCCCCCAGGAGGAGGGTGGCCCGGGGCTGTGGAAGAGCATCCTTGGGGACACACGCTCCCAGCATTGCCTCCCGCGGAGCCGGGCTCCTGGCTGGAGGGAGATGGCTCAGGGGTGCTGCTGGCCATCTTGCTGCCCTGACAGTCCGAGCAAAGGTTTTTTCTCCCCCAAATCTTCCCTGCCCAGGGCCTGGAGTGGGCCGGGCTGTGCACTGGGGCTATGTGGGGGCACAGCTCCCTGGGCTGCGGCACGGGGCCGATTCCCACAGCTGCTGGCCTGGGGTGGGGGACCTGCCCTTGCACCATTTCCCTGGGGTGTAGCAACCCCCAGTATTTTGGGACGGAAGCGCGTGGCTTGCAGGCTGTTTACCAGCCAGAGCAGGAATATCTGCGGGTAACCCAGGCGACCGGCCGTGGGAACCGGAGGGCAGGCAGAGCTGCAAACACCCAGCTGGACACAAACAAGCGGTCCCCTCCCCGCGCCCGCGCCCCGCTGCCACCGATGGGCTCTGCCACGGTGGGACCCTGCATCCCAGTGTGCAGAAGCACTGTGCATCCCACCCCAGCGCACCCCTGCCCCGGGCTCGCCTTGCCTGTGCTCCGCAGGGAAAGGGTTTGTCCCTGAGGAGGCTCCGAGCCTCCACCGAGGTCAGGGATGGAGCAGACGCGCCCCCATGACAGTGCTCTCAGTTCCCCTTCGGCTCTGAGTCACTCTCACAAGCCCACAGATCCTGTCCCCGGGATGGGACGGGGGGACAAGAAGCAGGGTGCCATCCCTGCGAGGCACCCGCAGCCAGAGCCAGGTCCTGGCCAGCCCGGTGGAGGGGTGTCGGAGGGGCTGGGGCAGGAGGATGCGTGGGGTGGAGGCTGTCGGGGCACGGGGGAGGTGGCTGGGTGACGGAGGGTCCCGCGGGACAAGGCTGTGGCAGTGCAGAGGCAGGTGGTGACACGGGGCCATGGTGCGGGACAGACTGGGGAGCGCAGTCTGGAGGGAGGGTGGGTGCTCGCAGCCCAGCAGAGGCACAATTTGGGGC